GATTACAAAACAAGATCAGAGCAAATTAATTTGAATGACTACGGAAATAGTAATACATTTCTAAACAACATAAACATCGACTGCAAGGAGGAATTATCAAAAAAAACCTTTTATTCATTGAAAATTTCGTAATCGACGCGATCAATCTATATATACATGGCGCTGTTGCTATCTATATAACTCGATATTAGACACACCGATAGCGAGCGCGCGGCGCGCGTTCACTTCAGTTTTCCAGTTCTCCCTTTCGAAATCGTCGACTGTCTCGCGCTGCCGCTTGCTTACTACGCTTTATATTTCCAATTGGCGCCATCTGGAATTTACGCAGCTGATTCTACTACCGATTTTCATGCAATTCGTTCGCGCCTGCGACTGATCTTGAATTGTACACACAGGCAGGCTATTTGACTTGTACAGCATTCGTTGCCCCGGGCAGCTCGAAAAACTTGTTGCGCAATTCAACGCGCTGACGACATTACACGTACAATACTAAATCTTTTTACTTTCGCGCGGCGTTGATTTATCGAGCACACTCGCGATTTTTGTTAAAACACAGAGTATTAGTAACAAATGTTAGCGGTGCCGAAGCTTTGTCACTGCAGGCCCAAAGATGGAGCTGATAAGGATGGATGTTCATAGAAAGTAAAATCCTTTTACCATTTGACAATGCGCGCTCGTAAAGTCAATCGGCAGAAGTGAAATCCCCAATCTCACCGCGGGGCAATTCCAATGGCGCGTTCTATTTTCAGCGAGGTAAAAAGCAATCAACGAATGCGCGAGTCCAATGTACATATGTATATTCACTCCGGAAAATTATGGCTAACACTTGAGCAAGAAATGCGGACGTTACATAAACAAATCGTGGAAGTGTCTCCAGAGGAAAATATATATGTATATATTATATCAAACGCGCAACGCTTTTATACTTCGATCTTCCGACTAACAGCGTTTTGTGAAATTTACGACCCGTTCAAGGACTGCCCCTTTTTCAAACATTGCTCGCAGTTTATTGAGCGAATGTTCGAAAAAATAATAACGAATGATTCGGCACGTTCAGTGAGATTCACACGCGCTGGATTTACTTTTGTTATTTGTTTCGTGAAGCACGTGCCCACGGGCACTGAATTGTCGTTACCCTTCTCCGATTTCCATATATACACAAGACGCAATAGTCGTGAAACGTGCGTCTACCTATAATACAAGTCGCTTTGGATCTCTTTATCTTTCGTGCGCAGTTTTCGAAATGCCTTTATGCACGAGGTCGAGGGGGGATTTTCTCGTTCAAGTATTCGATTGGGCTTTAAATAAACGAAATGGAAGTAAGAGGCTTATTGAAAGTAAACATTGAGGAAAAAGTTCAGCCTAGAAATCTTACCTACAAACACGACGTTAGGCAAAAAATAAATGAAATTGATCGTTCAAACAAATCAACTTTTAATGATTCACACTGCCATATACTTGACACAATAAAAAAAACCACGCTCGTTATCTCCACGCAATGCAATTACAATCATGCTGACAAAAGCAAAAACGGAAAGTTTTAAGTCTGCGTGCGAGATGAACAAAACGTTTCCGATACACGCGGATGCCTAGAAAAAATGCAGGGCAAGAAACTCATAACGCAGCCGCGGCTTGACGCTTTTTCAGCTTTCGTATTTTTCTTCAAGACGCAGATATACTGCTGATTTATGTAAATTTATTTTCAAAAAGAGCTCTACAAGCGCATTAGAATGACAAAAGATAGATTTTTTTTTCTTCTACCAATAACATTAAAGTGTCTCTTATGTAAATTGGAGATGCATTTAACAATCTTATCATTTAATTCAACTCTTATCACTACGAGTACAAGTGCGCAATTCTACAATCTAATCTTTAAAGATTATATTTCTTTAATAACTATAGATCGATTTACACGTTAAGTGTAAGCTAATAAAACTAACAGACACAATTGCCAGTGCAAATTTAAATACTTACAATATTGTCTTATCAACGATCGCCAAGAAACTTTGTAATGTGCTATCGAGAATCCAAATGTAACTAGTTCTGCTCGCGTATATATGCACTCGTGACTAGCGACTATCAAATCGATAATACGGTGAGAAAGCGTGCAAAAATAAGTATTCACTTTTGCATTTACGGTATGTTTATAAATCCATTCGTTTTTTCAAAATGTTTACTTTGATAACAGCGTGTTTTACTTGTTACGAAAGCGCAATTTGAAACGCAATAACTAAGTGCAGAAAAACAAAATGGCGAGTAATTCAACAATTGTTTGCTATCAGTTCGACAACAGCGCAATTTCTTATCAATAATCCAGTGAAAACCAAAAAAAACGAATTTGTCGTTTCCGCTAAATAAACGAAGCGTTAAATAATGTTTAACCTTGGAAAGTTTTCGTAGACATTATAAATTTTGTTGTCATACGCATTTTATTCTATTTCTCACAACGTAAATCATCTCTTCAAATTATTGTGATATATGTGCGCACGATAAGTGTTTCTTTGGCACAGTGTCTGTGCTTTTCGTATGAAAATTAATTCAGTACAAAAGGTGATTTGATAGGAAAATTTGATGAATTTAAAGACAGAATGATCAGGTTTAATTTCATGAATTGACGGAGGATACAACTGAGAGCGTACAAGCTCGTCGAAGGCTCTCAGCAAACTGACCGCCGACTCTTGCCACTCTCGTCACTCTTCATCTTAAAAGCAATAAAAAAAAGAAAAGCGGAAAAATGAGACGAGTGTCGAACCAAAACATAGGCGATAGTCACGATAACGTGATCGTGGCTCAGTTGTGTGGCTTATGCGCCGTCGGGGTAACACATTTTAACCATGAGGAGACCACGAGAAACGCGTAAACTAGTAGAGTGGACTGTAGGGCACAAAGAGATAAATCGACACCATCTCAACGACTCTGCGAGGCACTGCCTTTCGTAGAATTACTTAGATTGAATACAATGAGTGGATTATAAATGAATGTCGGTAAGCAATATAAATGAAATATAATTATATGCAAATAACGTAAGTTCAAATAAATTAAATTTAGAGTATATGAAATTGTCCGATATAATAACATTAAAACCACTCGATATCGTACAATAAGACAACCATGATACGAAAAAGAAAATGACCTCGAGCGAAAAGAAAAAAGAAGCAAAAAGAGACGGTGGAGTATGCAAAGGTAGGGCCAATGCCACCTGTATGTATGAGTATCCTTTGGAAAGTCTTGTAAATTCAAACGAAGAAAAAAACTAACACACCGTCTGAGTTTAACGAACCCAAACAACAAGAGATATAAGCTTACACGTGATGGCAATTAATGTATATCACGTGTGTATGTATTTTTTCGTATGATAAAACTGATTGATCGTGCTGAAAGTGACGGTCGACGAACATACTTTTCGGCTGGTATTAATTATGGTGTTTTCGTTGCGAAAGAGTAACATTGGGTAACAAAAATGTATAATTGATATCGAGCTATCAATAAACTACCTTAGACATCGTTTCAATTTTAAAATACACGCGATTACAAGGAAGAAAATTTCAAAACTAAATAGCAAAAGAACTAAAAATAGAGAACATCGTTACGCGCAATTATTTGACAACCAGCAGCAGCCTTGAAGCAATGTTTGACATCAAACAAATAAATAGGAGTCGGAATCAATGTTTGATCGGAAAGACGAGCACGTGTATCTAAAACGATGACAAGCATGACGTAAGGAAAAAAAAAATTTTGTCGGTCAGACATTTGCTTGTAACCTTGAAGGAAAAGCTCCGTGTTTTTAAAAACGGAGCGCGCGAAAATAGATGTACGCGACTTTCGTCGCTCGGACATTGCTCGTTACGTAAAATCGTAGTTACTTGCCAATTGATCAGTCGACTGCTTCCGCAAGTGCAATGTATATCTATGAGCTGCACTGTTCAACATGTTAAATTGACGGTTTGAATTACTTCCATAGTTTTCGCACGATGATGATTCACAGACGCAAGATGTATTTCAAAGTGTTTCTCGTGATGTACTTTCATCACTTGAAAAATATATTTTCGAAAGATTGATGTTATAGTTTTGTATAAAACAAATCAAGTTCTAATAGTATATCGTTACTTCGCTATCTAAGATATAATTTCAAACGAATTATCCATTACACGTTCGCTCCACACAAAAATGAAGCCCATCACGCAGGTCAGCCTTAAAAAAAAAAGTATAATCTAAACCCATCACCACTGAAATAAGCTTTCCGGTGGTAGTTATCTGTTTTGCCGGGTAGGTGTATAATAAAATGGGATGCGCACGGCGCTGGCAACGCGAGGTGAATGAGGTCAGGGCCTCTCTTGAAAGCTTGCGCGCGTATAGCCCTATATATTTGTCTCTCCGCGGAAAAGAATCGAGAGAAAGACAGGGTGTGGACAAGACTATACGTGCAACTTTGCGCAACGCTTCTTGTGCAAATGTCAGCGTGAAAAAGCACACAACAATGTATCGAGCGAGGTTTTGCAAAACTTATCTCGCGACACCGTTACGTCTGCGCTTTTTCCCACGCCACTGCTTGTTATTAAATTATCTTGAACTTGACTTGCTTGCGTGCGTGTGCCATTATCAACTTCCTCCCTGCGATCTATGTCAATCGTCTTTTAATGACTTTTCATTACGTTCGTCCAAGTTTCCTCGACAAAATTATTTTTGTTGAGGTCCCTAATTTTTCCAACTGCAAATTCGCCACGACCAATCGGTGTTTTCTTGTCGGGAAAAGCACTAGAAGAAAAGCGCCTTTGCGCGGTACAGTGCCAATCGATAAGTTGCACCGTACCCGAGTCCAAACATACTGCCTCAGGCGGACCGTTTCATTTCGACGCAAAACGAATTGAAAATTTGCTTCGCTGATTATCACGCGTGCTCACGCGAGATAAGCGACAGCGACAGAAAAAAAATAGACGAATAACCAGTTTTTCCCTCTGCACACATATATACAAAGAGAACGGCGCAGAAAAGCTACTCACTGTGTTGGCTGTTGCGCAGCAAAGGCCTCTGCCTGTATACGGTGGAACACACTGGACGACAACCAAAAGAAAAAAAAAAGAAATGCCACTATGCCACTTGTACAGTCGCACTCGTGTTCACTATTCAGCGCACATCGATGACACGACGAGGGAAAGGGGAAATTAGGTAATTTCTCGAGCGAACGCGAGCAAAAGCGCGCACTGCGGCGTCCAGCACTCGACTGAGTGCCTTTGTTTGACGCTAGTAAACAGCAAACAGCTGAGCGCGGCGCTGCCTGCTGCACGCTGACTGCTACGCTGCACCTCGACGCGAAATATAGGAGGAAGGTGCCTGGTAGGGGGAACGGGAGAAAGAGAAGGACACTGCTGCGGCTGTCGATCGACCGACTGCCTCTCTCTCTTACGCGCGCGCGTTATGCTTGGTCGACACCTTTGTTTTGCTTCTTTTGTTAACGCTTTTTTTTTTAAAAAGGGATTTTGCCGTTTGGGGGCATTTGAACGCGTTCGAGTTTCGCGCTACTTGCGTTTTTCTCCTCGTCGAGGAGCTTTGCAAGAGGGAGAGAGGAGGCTCGTAAAATTATTATTCGTGCATACAAATTGGCGAGATGTCAAGATCGTTGTCAAGATCTACTACAAAGTCGGAGTCGTAAAGAAAAGGTGAACGATTAATTTATCACGTTAGGGTTTCTTGTGCGAGTGACAGCTTTAATTATGGTAACTGTTTCGTGTAATGCTGAATTTCCACTTACAATTAGTTGGGTTTGCGGAAAGTCGCCGTGATATATTTTACACCGTGATCATTCGACTCAAGTCGTTCGCTTGAGAGAGACATCGTTGGTTTTTCGATTGTAAATTCAACTGATGTAATTTAATTCACGAAACAAAGGCTTTAAAGTACTGTTTAATTGTCAAACTTGAAATACTCACGCACGCTTGATCGGGGAAAAGGTCAAATGAATAACAAAGCAGGTATTTAGCATTCGACAACAAAGTGGAGTTAGCGAGCCGGAGAACAAACAAATCTGTCTCTTATCTCGATTGGATCGACGATCGTCAAGTACGATTGCACACCTTGCAGATGTGTGTTACCGCAGTTTCCTAGTTCCGTCCCGCGTTGATTCACCGCTCGGACTTGTGTGAAAAATTCAATTGGCGCGCGCGCGTAGCAGCTTTTTCGATAGAGGAAACGTGGCTCGACACGTAATGTTGTTCACGTTGGATGTAGGTGCTTATCGACCGCGCTTGGCTCGCAAGTCAGTGCACCCTGTACACGGCTAGTGCCTCTGAAAGCTCAATTTAAGAAATGCAACGCGCGCGGCCTAGATAAGCCCGTCGCGATGAAAGCTCGCGTGTGCAAAAAATGACGGAAAATGTTTATGAAAAGGGGCGCGCGCGAATCGTACGGTTCATTGCGTGACATTGATAGACGAGTGCGTGCGTCGATGACAATGCGATGGGAAGTGGGTTTTGACGTTTATAAGGTACATCGCGCGCTGGTTTCTTCTCACTCGATCGCAAGCACGCGTAGCCATGACATTTGAATACAATACCATGCTCGCGCCACTCTCCTTCTCACTCGTGGCGAATTAATGTTGAGTTATTGTGGCCAAGCGAGATAGAAAGAGAGAGAGAGAGATGCGTGGTTCAGGATGAAAGTATTCGTACACGATTGCGTTTGCAATAGGAGCTAGCCTAGGCAAGCGTAGACTCGCCAATCACGCGGCAAAAATAATCAAATTGTCGGCGCGCGCGCACGTTCAAGGTAAGACCGCCGATGATGGGGAAGTGTGCGTTTCGAGGGAGCGGAAGGTCAAATAAAAGCTAATGAGACTCTCCTTCGTCGACGCTCTTTACGGGCTTGAACTTGATAAGACTTGGTTCGAGCGCGATTGCAGCTGACGATGAGTAAATGTAGTAAAATGTACTTACGGAAGAATCGACGACCGATGGTGTTTCGTAGATCTTTGTTTGGTAGATTTTTTTTTGGTAGGTTGTTGAAGGATCAATGAGAAATTTTTCGATTGTTGTCAAGAGCTCGAGGTTATAAAGTGGTTTATAATTTTGAAAGCCTGGACTGATGTAAATATTCCATCGCTATTCTTTTATTATTCATCAACATTTTTTGCAGTTCGAAGAAAAGTTGCTGAATAGAAGTTGAATCAGAATAATCTGTCGTTATGTATATCGAAGGACGAAACTGAAATCGATCGCAAGACAATAAATTTATTATCAGGGCACAAAATGAAAACTCATTATCACTTAAACAATTTTATATTATTTATCGATACATAGAATTTATCGATGGTTTTCTTCAGCTAACAGTGGTTCATCATTCGCTGCTCCTGCTTTTGTTATTTATTTTATCTCTTTGTTTCCTTGGTATTTTTTTTATTTTGCATAATACTCGCTAAACCGTTATGCATATAATTCTTTTTGCCATATGATACATACACAAGAATACATTGTCATCATCAACTCTACATCGTTACATTCTTTCTCTCTGTCATCATCATTACGCACAGAAAAAAACAAAAATGGAGTATATAGAGCTAGGGTTTCCATGATACATGTACAGGCTTCATTTTTATATAACTTTTTGAATAATAATTAATCTTAACTTTTGGAATTATTTTTTTTTAACTAATGTGTACGTCGAGCAAACATGATATACATTACACACCGTTAAATCGATATACAACTTGATGAGGTTGCGACCTCCATTTTCACCGTACACAAGATATTTATAACTTTTTGCGAATATTTCATTCTTATAGATTGTATGCGTGTCGCTTGAATCATTTTTTGTTACTTATTGAAACTTTATAGTTAGTGAAATTGATACTCATTATTAGTTTACATGTTGTTAATTGAATATGTATAGGTATATATAAAGGATTTTTCTTGTGGTGGTACTTTCTTGTCCTAGAATGTGTGCCAATGCATTGATATATTCATAAACTTGGTCGTTTTCCTCGAATAAAAACGAACCTCAGTACATTATGTAGAATATATACGACCAGACAACACAACAGTATTATAGAATCGAGGTTTTTCATTGGCAACTAAAAAAAAAAAAAGAAATGAAAGAAAATTAGCCGAAGCGCAGCGCCCAGGGTATATATATGTTTATATATATTTTATTTTTGTTTATCAAAGTAGCATTTCTTGTGTTCTAACTACGCCGTAGTATATACACACCCACAAACAACCAAACCGTTGTACATTGAAAAAAAAAAAAATTTTCTCCTTCGTCAACGTTATTTTTGAACAGACAAGATTTGATTATAAGTTTGTTTAGGTACATCATGAAACTTTATTTATATATATCTTAATTCTGCAATTTAACTTCAGATTTGTTACAATTGTTTATTGGATTCATCTAATTATAGTGCAATTTGTCGTAACAGATGTTTCTTTAACTTATGATCTTCCCGTGACATGCACATAGCTGCACATTCTTTCGTCACACGACTTATAATGCGGAGGAGGATGAAGAGGGACATGCTGCGTCTCGTTATACTCTCACCAGAAAAGAGATTTTATATTATACGCGTTCTTAAAATTGTTCGGTAACACTTTACAGAACTCCACCGTTGGCTCTCATTGATTAATATACGATAACATTATCAATGTCTTATTCTTTGGTGTGTATATGTGTATGTATGCTTTTATCTGTTTAGTTATTTGCGTGTAATAATTTTAAGCATCTGCCGTTACTTTCATTGCTGTTGTCAATTGTGTAACGTTAAGTCACAAGTGAGGATTTATTCTTAAAATCTAATGTAATTTACATTATGTATATATCGTATAAGTTTTGCATTTTTTTGCTATGCTCAAAGAGTTTTCTGATCGACCGGATGCTTTCACTCTTTTTGTTCGGAAACTATCATCAAAACACGTCGCAATTTTATTTTACCCTAAAGTTACTTTGGGTAATTCCACTATAATTTCATACAATTTATGTAAATTAGACTTACATTTTTTAGTGGATATAGGTTCAACTTATGAATTTTTATTACTATTGTGGTGGTCATACATTTTTTTTTGTCTTTCTCGACGCGCCTTATTAATATGATTAGTATATATTTAATTATTATCCATTACCATTTGTCCACAGATGAGACATATCTTTTTATTATTTGTATGTTCATTTTGCAATTACATGTGCACGATTACGGTACTGAGATCACAAGCTGAATACTCGCATTTTTTATATTCGCAAGTTTTCGTTAAAAAACTCCTTTCATAGAGCTTTTCATTATTACATCTTACTTTGCATCATTTTCGAATAAAAGTAATTTGTACAAAAAAACAACTTCACAGCTTATCAATAAACATTGTTTTAAAAAATTGATAATACTTCTTAAGGTTTTTATTGTTGCATATATTATTTTTTGAACAAAATAAGTAGAGAATCCAAGAAAAAAGCAAAAAACGATATTACAAAAACATAATAAGGCTGAGTTTTTCATATTTGTTTTTTCGTCATTCACATATAAAAATATTCCAGAGGCAGATTTATTTTCTTCGTTTTTCAACATTTTCAACAATCCCGTAAATCACGTAGCAAAATAAAGTCTCTGTATTGCTTGAAGCTACAAGACTGACCCGATTTCAAGTGTTTTCATGTGAAAACAAAACTAACGTGTTACTTCTTTTTACATGTATAACGATGTATATGGCCGAGGATTATGCACGTGTTACATGTTTTGGCTACGACGGAGGACTAGGTTTCACTATGTATTTCTAATTTTATATGTGTTATTATGAATCTAAATATATATTTTATACGCGTTACGTTTTTCTGGCCTAAAGAAAAAATGTTCCGTTATTCGTCTGAAAATTTATAACGTCTAATATTATCTAGAAGACGGAACGAATCAAATTCCTAAGTTTTGGAATTACAATTTATGACCACTTGTATGCACTGCAAAATAAATGCACAATTAATAATCTTACTTACTTAATTATTGCAACAATTGAAGTTCAACTGAATTTATGCTTATCTAATTATCACAATTATGTTCGATAAGAATCTATATTACTCACTAAAAATACTTTTATTTAAACAAATCGCTTGGTTCTATGGCACACAGAATCTGCAAAAGCAATGAATATAAAAGAACAAATAAAAAAATCTTTCAAAACGATAACAAAGATGCCTTGTAAAAAAAAACAAAAATCAACTGGTGAATAAAAAAAAGTCTATTAACTCTACCTTACAATCTATATTCTTACGAGCTAAGGACTTTATTCGCGTTATACGACGA